ACTTTCTTTTAGCTAACAGTGTTGGAAATGTGCTTATTTGAGTTATTCAGTAAACGCTTGGAGCATTTGTAGTTCTCAGCTTTCAATTTCAAACGGCAGTGAAGTGGAACGGTTCTAATAAGCACCAGTGATGCCGTTGCTCATTAGTTAGTCCCAGCTGACATAAACATACGCAAGAATCCAGTGAATTTCTTTGTCATCAGGATTCTTCTACCCCTGTTAAACATGAGGAAGTCGGAATATGGGGGGATAAGAGATAATGGAGTTAAATTATTGGGGCACGTTCCTTCTAATGAGTCTTTTATACTCTCAAGAGACATCATCAACATTGAAATGTGTCTTTCTCAGGTTCCTTGAATTATTTTTGGTGACAAACAGATCTGTTCCTTGTCGTATTGCTACTAAATTACACTCAACAGAAGAAAGCTGCCATTTACCTTGTCAGTATTAAATTTTTTCTAAGTATTTGTGCTGAGAAAAATTTAATTTGCTTGGCTCCCTTGGAATTCTTTATTCCAGCCAGATGTGTCCCTAACTAGACACAGCACGTGTCGAGGATGTGGTTGGTTGCTTTGCTGCTCTAGATTCAAAAGGAGAGTATGTAAGGAACAGGTCGTATCTTCATTTATATGCTATTTTAATAGCCTCATATATTTGCCCAACTAGACCATTATAGTAACATTGTAAGTGGTTTGCAAATATTTTTTCCTCCTTCAGCGTATTATACACACTGTTGCCAGATACAGGTTTCTTAATTAGTATTTTGCATAATCCACTTCTTTCAAAACACATGTACTTGTTTAGTATTTACAGAAGAAAGTCAGGATCTTACTCTCTTTCTGCTGGAAGAGAGCTTCCAGTCTCTTCTTTCCTTATTTTCTAACATGAAACCAGCATTCTGTTATTAGACTCCATAATACACATTCCAGACTGGGCAGTCTTTGTTTATCTTGCTCCTGTTACCTTAGTACTCTCTTCCTGTCTTCTCACTTACTGTTATTTTAGTCCATCCATTCTTTTTTGCATTTTTTCACATCCACACTTTGTCCAGCTGCTCCAGTCTGCTGTGTAGCACCTACAGTCTGCTTTCTTTTTTTCAATAAATATATCTTATTTATGTATTAGAGTCCTTTCTCTAATAAGCTTCTTAAGTGGAGACTGAGGTATCCTTTTTCCTTATTGCAGCACATATTAAAATGCTGAATAAATATCATTGATTAAGATCTAGATTCTATACTGCATATGAAATTTGACATTAGGGACATGATGGTAGGTGATGGTTTATTTACTCATAAGCTTTCAAGTCAAGACCACTATTCCTTTGACAAACAGCATACATTTCTGACGGTACATAGATCTGAGGTGTTTCTTTTTTTCTTCCTAAGACCACCAATACAGTGAAGTAGACTGGCCTTAAAAGAGACATGAACCTGTGACATAAATCTGACTAAGCAAGTGAGACTTTTCAGAATTCAGAATCTCTGATTTGCTGTTACTTAGCTTTAGGATGTATATATAATACTGACTCTTTAGGAAAGTATATTATACATCATCATACCTTTGTTAAATGCCTGTTCCGGACTAGGTCCTAGCCACTGAACAGTCCGTGCATAATGTGCATAAACGGAACAGTGTATGCATAAAATAAACAGCAGTGCCTGGGAGCTGGGAATTTCTGTTTCCGACAGATGCCTGAAGTACTGTAGAGGTTTGAAGTGACTTTTGAAGGAGAGGCTTTTTTGAGCAAGCTTTTGGAAGAAGGAAGGACATTTTAAGCAAAGGACTTAATGCTTCAATGCTTAAAGAATGAACACGGGACGTCACAAGGAGCGCTTTAGGGCTTTGGAACAGAGGATAGAACCTGCAACTGATTGTTGGGAAATGAAACTGGAGAGAGTGGATGATGGAGAATACAGAATTTGAAGGCAAAATGAATTCATCCTCTCTGACTCCTCAGTCCTACTTACCATGTTTTCTTGTTTACTTTCTTCAGAGTGTTTCTAATTATCTGAATTTTTGTGTGTACTTGTATGAGACATCTTTTTCTCACTAGAGTGTATTCTCCTTGACATCAGGGCCCTTGCATTTACTATTCCCTCCTTCATTACCTGACACATTGTTGGCACTAAGAGAGATTCGGGGAGTGAATGAATGCATGTTTAGTAGATTTTAGTAGGTCTGGGGGAGGTTGTAGCATTACGAGGGAAAGAAATTCAACATTATCCCCGTCTTATATCGTTCCAAAAGACACTGCACACAGATGTTGAATACTAAAATTGTTTTCTTCCTGTATATTTTTCAAAATGAACCATTTTCATTTCTTAGAATATCATCATCACAAAAATTCCAGTTTTTTCTTTCTGATTTGCCATTTCCCTAAGTTTCATTTTAACAGTTAAAATGTGTTTTTGTGTAAAATGTTCTTTCGTGTAAAAATAAGCTGTTTCCTTAATTGTAGTGCCATCCTTTTAATGCTTTTTTAAGGTAGCATCAGTCTCTTGAGTTCGAGTCTGCAGAGATGTTGTCATATCTACTTAGTTGTCAGTGCCAGCTCACTGTGTGAAGTTACTGTACATTTTTTCTTTGAAAATCAGTGATAAATAACTACCTGTAATATTATATTCTATCTGACAAAAATCAAGTCGGATTTTAGGGCTCGTGTTGGCCTTAACTTGGTTTATTATTTAGGTGTGGAGGAGCCGGGGGGCGCCCTGAGGGAGGTGTGAGCGTGTGGTCGCGTGGACCCCTCTGGGAAGCAGACAGCAGGCTCTCATTTACAGCACAGCCTGGGTTTGCCAGCATCCTCAGTTGTCTCCTCTCCAGGCCCTTTGGGGCCTGCCACTGGAAATGCTCATTCTCCAGCGCTCTCCTGTCATACTCTCAGGTTTTCTCATTTTTTGCGCGCATACTGCCTTTCTATCAATTATATCCTAAAGTAATTTCACATGCCTTACATTTCTTCAGACATGTTTGTTTCAGACTTAATGGACTGCTTGGCCTGGTACACAGTTCTAGATTGAAAATGATGTGCCCTCAAAGCTCTGAAGGAGCTGCTTTGGTACCTGCCAGCCTCCAGTGCTGCTAACAACCAGCCCTATTCCCGCCTCTCTGTTTGCCCTAGTTGTCCAGGTTTTTTCCCTCTGAGTTTTTAGGATTTTTTTTTTAATCCATAATGTTCTAAAATACCACAGTATGTCTAGCTGTTGTCTTTTCTTATTTGGAACCTGGGAAGTAATTTTAATTTGAATACTTAGTCTCCTTTAATTGTCTTAACGTTTCCAGAAATAGTTTCTTTGTCTGTCTTCTCTTCCTGGGACTCCTGTTTGAACTTCAGCTTTATTGGGTTAGATACACCCAGGTGCATCTCCCCTTCCTTTCCTTAATGTGGTCCACCTGTGTCTTTTTGTTCTGTCAATTTTACTCAATTCTGTCTTCTAATATTAGTTTGAGAAATTATATTTTCAGTTTATAAGTGCTTTTTCTTTTACTTTCTTTGCTCATTTTTATATGACATTTTTTGTGACTCCTGGTGGGAAAAGCAGTCTGCTGGGCACTCTGATCATCCCTGTGTGTCCTTGCTGGACATGCCAGGAACGCGAAGGGTTGTGTGTGCAGCGACGGGCCCTGAGGAGTGAGATCAAGTCTTTGATCAGAGCACGAGGCTTGTTATCACGTACTGTAAAAACAGTGAGCTCCTCTGACTCAGTATTGCTCTCCTGTAACACAGTCGGCTGTGTGTGCCCGTATCTGGGAAGGACCTTCTGTGTCACCCTTTGAGAGTGTGGAGGCATGAGGAGCTGACAGAAACAAACATGAAGTAATAAAACCCCTCGTCTCTGACCCCGGAGTCTGCTGCCCCCGCCAGCGTCCATGAAGCAGTGACAGGCTAGCTCGTTAGCAAGGTGAACTCTCAGACCCGGCACCTCTGCGGCTTCTAACCCAGTGTTTTTCCTCGCTTTCTCCTGCACTGCCATCTTATTTGAGGTTGTAACTTCCTCCATCAAAACTTTTCCACTAGCTTTTTGTTTTCCAGATACTTCTTGAAATCTCTTCTCTGCTGCTGACTCTGCTCCACGGCTTTTTGTTCTCACAGGGTTATACCTTTTTATATCTTCTGTTGGGGGGCGGCTCTCCAAACTCCTGTAAATAGTCAGCTGTATGGAGGAAGCCCCCACCTCTCTTTAAACTGTTTCAGCCACCACTGTCGCTTCTTGTTTCCATGACTGTGCTGCCATCCTTCCAGCAACGCCATTTCCCTATTTCTAATCCATGTCTGCGCCTAAAAACAGAGCTTTACTATCTGGATTGTCAACAAAATGTCCAATAGAAATGAATTCAAAATAGGAGTCGTTATGGCTCTCAGAGGAGTGGTTGTTTGTGGCAGTTGGTTCAGCTACTCGAGAAATTTTTGCTTACTCTTAGGTGTGAATGTAAATGCATTTTTAGCTGGATGGACTAGATAAAGGTGCAGTATAACTGTATTTACAGTTTTAAAACATGTATCTATGATATTTCTGTTAAACTGAATTGCAAAATTCTCAAAAAATGCTCTATGCCTTTTACTAAAAATCATCAGACGGATGGCACAGAATGATTTTATCCCCAGAGTAAGAGTTGTCGCGCTTCCTGCTCGGAGGGCCAGGGGGACGTTTTGCCCACAGCTTGGGTTGCAGCCACGCGGCTCCGCCCGGACGTCGCGCTGCAGCCGCGGCAGGGAGTCCGTGACTCACCTGGGGGTGCTGCCGGAAACCTCGTGCATGACAACATTTGAATTTCACGTAATTTTTACACATCATGGAATATCCTTTTTATTTTTCACTTCCACTTAAAATATAAAGTCTGTTTGCTGCTTGCAGTCCATGCGAAAACAGACCAACTCTCGCCCTCGAATTACCTGTTTTATTAATAGCTTATTAATTATTCATGCATTTATTTATGAATAGGTCTGTTAAGGCTTGAATACTGATAAGGTCTCAACTCTGTCCCATTATCCTGATCAGGCAAGCCAATGAGGAATATCAGATCCTGGCTAACTCCTGGCGCTATTCGTCTGCGTTCTGTAACAAACTCTTCTTCAGTATGGTGGACTATGACGAGGGAACAGACGTTTTTCAACAGGTAAGAGTTTCATTTTAATAGCGTTGGTTCTGGTTGATGCATCTTTGTTTGCCGGATAAAAACACAATTCATTGACTATAATGTGTAGTTATTAATTCTGTGAGAGGATTAATGTTACCTGTATCATTACACAGCTTATGCCATGAGTCAGGGAACACATTTTAACTTCTGTACTGTAAATAGGTTTTTTCAGCATACAGTGGCAGTTTACGTACATTAACCTTATTGTGATATTTAATTGTATGTAGTTTGGATGGTATTTTGCGTAAATTTGTGAAATTTTTATGTAACATTCAGTGTCAGTTTTACTTAACCTTTACTTCTTCCAGTGTGGCAGTTTTATGTGTAAAGTATTAAGTATTTATTTAAAAGGGTTTGTTCTTTGTTATGGGCTGAATTATGTCCCTCCCAAACTCATATGTTGGAGCCGTAACCCACAGTATGCTTTTGGGAGGGGTACAGGGCCTTTAAGGAAGTGAAGTTAAATGGGGTCATATGGATGGGACTCTAATCCAAGAGGACTAAGTCCTACTTCTTATGAGGAAACAGCCCTGTTGGCATTTGTCATGGTTATGTCATCGTCATTGCTAACATTGAGTCCTTATATTCCATGGACTCTTCTAACTGCTTCATATGTATTCTTTCATTTAACTTCACAACAATCCAATGAGAAATACTGTTTTTATTTCTACTTCATAGGTGAGAAAATTAAGGTATGGAGAGGATTAGTCACTTGTCCCAGGTTACAGAGTTAGTGTAATACGGAGATAGCATTTGAGCTCAGCTCTGGCCCCCTGATCCCTGCAGTTACTGATTTTTCATGTTTTTCACTACCTGATCATGCCTTTCAAATGTAGAACTGATTGCAGTGCCCAGCATTGATTAGCTCGGGTCTCTTGGTCTATTTTATTTTTGTCACATGTGACACTCTTGGCATAATTCTTTACTAGGTCATGGAAAAGCATTTAGTTCTGTCAAAGAATCGAGCTCACTAATTGTAAATGGGCCATTAGAGAGTATTTCTGTTTATTCCAGATTGATAATTCATTCTTCTTTGCCAGTGTCTAGTTGAATAAGATCAATTCTCTCTTTTTTACCTTCAGTACCCTTGGTCTTTCCTATTAGTATTCTTCGTTTATTTCTTCCCCCATAAATTTATTTTGCCTTTTGGACATGCTGCTTTTTTGTTCAGCTATTCTGCAAATATTGAGTGCCAGCCTACTCTGTACAAGCAATGAATTGGTGAAGGGAACAGTTTTTCCCCTATAAAGAGCTAATAATAAAGAAAAACACATAAAATATGTAAGTTCAAATAAGTATAAAGAAAAATTATAGTAGTCTTAAGATCCAAGTATTATTTCATGTAATTTCTAGGTCTCTCTTGAATGTCAGGAGAATTGGCCTTAGAGGTCCTCAGACGGAAGTGCTGTTCGCCTTCTTAGGCGGCAGTCATCCAGGTCCAGTCTGAGTGCTAGAGCAGAGGCTTCAAGCCTGAACACCTACCCTGGCCTGGAAACTAAGTGAAGAAAGCTGGTTGGATTTAGTTTAGTTTAATTATGATATCTTTGTTTACATATGTACTTAGTATATTAAAAATTTTAGTTCCTTACTTGCATAATTAAATGTTCTTTACTATTTTTATTAAAACAGAATCTTTCTTAGTCTTTTACAAAAATAAATATTGAATGGAAACATTCAAATTTCACTTCTAACTGCTGTAAGAAATAAAATCAGCAAAACAGCAGGCAACTGACCATTGGCCTCATTGTTGAGGAAACAGAATGGCAGGGGTAGGGGGAACTCCGGCAGACTGGACAGGACCACTTGACTCCAGAGAGAGAGGCAGCTCAGCTCTGTCTAGTGCAGAAATGCAGCCCACTGTAGCTAGATCTGTTTTTCAAGTGGAGGCCTGCATAATGAATTTTTATATGAAATTTCTCTATCTTTGAAATGTTGATTGCTAATCCAGAAAGAAAACAAAACAAATTGTGGGGCAAAGTAAACCCACCTTGTGCTAGGTACTGACTCGAGGCTGCCAGTATATAAATCTATAGATAGATATAATTGTTGAGTTCTTTTATGTGCTCTAAACGTTTTTTTTAAAGTTTGGCATAGATAAGAGAGTTGAAGACAAGATTGTTTTTAATTGAAAAATTTCCTCAGGTTAATTTCGTTTGAGCAGAATTCTAAATATGGAACAGCTTTTTGTCTTTTCCAAAACCTAGCCCCTGGCTTAGCAATAAGAATTTTCATTTTAAAAATGCAGAAAAGTTAGAGCTGGTAATGATTTTTATGGGGAAGTATATATTTTGTTTGACTTGATAACTACTTAAAGGTTCTTAATGCTTATGTTTTCTTTCTAACTACTGAATCACATTTTGTTGACATACTCTCTCTAAACTGGTATTTTAAAGCACTGTCAGCAATAAAGTGATGTCTGAATATAATATTTAGAACCAGTGCAGAAATTTGTCAATTCCTGGCTGGTTGGAAAAGTAACGTCTTTGTGATTCTCCTGTGATGGTTGAGGCTGTGTCTGACGACAGGCCGACAAGTTAATGACTATGGCATTAGAAGGAGCTCGGCGCTAGAAATCAGGTCTGTGTTGTACCCTGCTTGGTGCAGCCATGGGGAGTATGTACGTTTTAATTCAGATGAAAGCTTTGAGTTATATGATTTTTAAGTCTTAGCCTAGCGTTTCTGACTATCCCAAGGCAGGGACTTCCTCTCTTGATTCTTCTATTGACATGTTGGCTAGAGCTGTCTCTTGTGCATCCATCAGGAAGTGGGAGGAAGCACAGAGCTAAAAGGAACTGGTGCCTGTGTTTTGTTCAATCCATTAAAAATTACTCAGTATCCATAACATGCAAGCCCACACTGGTCCTACTGTATCTTTACCTTCATGTCAACTGTGATCTAATGTACATTATTTGATTTTGCTTTTTATTCTCATTATTGGGAAATGCTGAACTATATTGCAAGTCAGAGCCAGAAATATCTCTGCTTTTCATTTGAAATGTATTTCTTGGGCAGGTTGAATTTAATATGTATGTATTTTTACAGTTTACTTTTCAATGCAAATTAACCTAATATTTACTTTTAGATACTATATTGTTAATGAGTGCCATTTATCCCAGGGTACTGTTCTATTCAGTATACTTTTCAAATGGAACTTGCCTTTAGAAAATAATTGTGAGAGAGAACCATTTTAAGATAGTTGAAATAATACGAGGAATTAAACAGAAGACCATCATTGTGGATTTCTCCGACAGTCTGGTAAATTCAAGTGGTTTAGAGCGGAAATACTGGCTTCTGTTAACAATCATCATTTTAAACTCTTTAAAGTTTTCATAGAGAAGTCAGTATACTTAAAATATATTGTAATTTTTATCTTTCATCAAACGCTAGTCCTTTTTCTTTAATAAATGCTTAAGAAGTGAAATAGTCTACGTACTGCCAAATTACAGTATTTCTATTTTGCACTTTGCATCACTTCATTCTTTACTCTAGTTGTAGAATTATCAAATAAATAGAGGATACAGCTGAGGATATGAATGATATATGTTAACTGAATATTCAGCAAACTTGGCCAAGTTCATGAGTTCTTTTTATTCATTTTAATGTACTGTTGAATGAAAAACAGTAATTAAGCTCTGGAAAGCCACTTGGATTTTCATAATAAATGCTATCTTTCCAAAATTCGTGCAGAAAGAACATAAAAATGTTAGATTAATGATACATAAAGATGGCTGGGATATTATACGTAATCTTTTTAAAATCTCATGTTTTACAGCTCAACATGAATTCTGCTCCTACATTCATGCATTTTCCTCCAAAAGGCAGACCCAAGAGAGCTGATACTTTTGACCTTCAAAGAATTGGATTTGCAGCTGAACAACTAGCCAAGTGGATTGCTGACAGGACGGATGTTCATGTATGTTTTTATTCCCCACAGTTTTTAATTAGTGGCTAATTAGCTTGGTTTGTTAGAACATCGTAATAAGGCCACAGGATTTTTTTTTTCCAATTTCTCTGTAGAGCATTTCTCCTTGCTTTGGGAAAACTGTCTGATAGCTGTAAGCTAAACTTTGATCAAGGTAGGTGAATTTAAATGATTTTTAGAATAATGGTTCTTAAAATATCAATGAACCAGCAAAGAATACATGAGTTAGGCACAGAGTAATTTCAGCGGCTAAAAAAGAAACTGAAATTTGCTCAGTGGTCTTAGTAATCAAAGAAATTCTAATTAAAAAGCAAGATGTATAATTTTTATCTATCCTTTGGGCAAATATAAAGAGGATCATACCCGCTTTTCAGGAGCCATGTGGGAAAATGGCCCTCACATATACTGTTCTTGAGAATATAAACTGGTATAACTACTTTAAAAGTAGGTATCATGTCTTTATTTTATGTAATTTAACTTAAAATTTAACTGAAGGAATAATCAAGAATGATTTAAATTCGCAGCCATAGGGAAATTCTTAAATAATGTAAAAAATGGTAAAGAAATTGAACGTCTAAAAATAAGAGACTAATTAAATGTGCTACAGCCTAGACAGTGGTTTGCAAGAACATATGACAGAGAAAAAAGCTCTGAGTATAATCAGTGGAAAAGTAGGTTAGAAAATGATTTTTCGATCTACTATTTATGTACTTTTTATAGCATGATCTAGAAAAGCATGAATAGAAGTGTAGCTGTGTAGACCATTTATTTAGCAAGGAAATGAACCAAAATGTTGATAGTGGTCAATGTCTACTTGGAGAGCTATGGCCCTTTTGTCCCTTAATCTCACCAGTTTTCTGCAGTGAACAATTATAATCAGTCATTCAAAAAGTACACTTACCTTAGAAGTGATACAGAGAAGCACTGTCTTATCATAAGGTATAAACATTTATTCTCACTTGAGATAGATGTCTCATGCTATCATCACTGTAAATAAAATAAGTATTAATGATATTTTTGTAACCAAACTTCACTTCCTAACGTGTCTTTTTTGGAAATGTTTTTGAATGTATCATTTATTTTGTACAAAACATTAATATTTCTTATAAAGAATTAACAGTACTTTTCAATATTACCTTAAATTGTAATGAGGAATGATTCTTACACTGTACATAGCTGTGAGGTTTCAAGGCACAGATGTTTGACTCGAGAGAGTAAACGCAGTGTTGGTACCAGGTAGGAAAAGTGAAGCGGCACCTACCTTTCTGAATGATTTGTGTTAAAGATCAGAAGGACTTGAATATGATCAAGAGGAAAAGATTAATATTTTTCTTTAACTTTTAGACCTTTCATTGTATTCTTGCAGATTCGCGTCTTCAGGCCACCCAACTACTCGGGCACCATTGCCCTGGCCCTGTTAGTCTCGCTTGTTGGCGGTTTGCTCTATTTAAGAAGGAACAACCTGGAGTTCATCTATAACAAGACCGGTTGGGCCATGGTATCTCTGGTAAGCTACCACATTTACCCTATTTCTTTGTGTAACAGTGTAAGTCCTGTAATATTAACATGACCCAGATTATTACAATAATGGAAATCAAGTCTGAATGAGAAAAATTAACTTTTTAGGACTTAGGTGATATAATTTAAGTTCCCTGTTAACCTAGACTATGCTATCTGCCTTCTTCTTTTCACTATTAGAGTGTAATGCCTTTCCACGTGTACTTGACATACTACAAGCGTTGAATAAATATATGCTGAATACATTTAGAAATACACCAGGAGTTAAGAAGAACTAGTAAGTAGTTGGGAGTCTCTTACAAACTGAAGCAGTTTAGAAATGTACTTGTTTTTTTTCCAGCAACTGTTTTCTTGTGTCTCTATTATATGTCTGATATCTGTTAGGTACTGGGGCTATGAAGACATAGACTGTAAGTAATTCATCGTGGGGATACAAACTAATTGAAAGATAAATAGCTGTAATAGTATACACGCTGTGATGGAGGGAAGCACAGAATATGACAGCAGTACGTGGGAAGGATACCTGACCTTGAGTGAGGAAAGTCGTAACAGGCTTCCCAGAGCATGTATGACAGTTTCTGTTTTAAAATGATCACCATGGTTGACTGGATAAAGAA